CTCTCTCTCTCTCTCTCTCTCTCTCTCTCTCTCTCTCTCTCTCTCTCCTCTCTCTCTCTCTCTCTCTCTCTCTCTCTCTCTCTCTGTCTCTCACTCACTCTTAAAAAAACATAAAGATTGGAGTCACAATTGGTATGGTATAATGTCAAAAAAGCAGGGAATTTCAGGGCAGTGGCAAGCATTTTGGTGAAATGACTAATCGTGGAACTTGAGCTGGCTTGGTAAAGGAACCGATGAACTAGGGGAATAAGATTGGCAGGGGAATACTGGAGGTCACAGGAACACAAAGAGCAGACTTCATCCATGAGCATGAGTAAAAAGGGCAAAAGTCTAGGACCACACCCTCTGGGACACTGAACCTGCCTCTGGAGTACTTGTCCATCTCCCCTTCTCATTTTATGAGTTTTCCAGCTGAGCACATTTTTACCAATTTTCCAAAAGCACCTCTAGCGTTAACATCCCTACTCAAAACCCTCAAAAGCTCTCCATAGCCTAAAGCAGTGATTGACAAACAAGGAAGTTCAGAATAATCACCTCCTAAGAGCGATAAATGAGAAAGGAATGAGTAAGTGGAACTTGAACTAAAATAGGTTTTGATGTAAAATAAAAATATCTGCAGAAAATAAGGCAAGTGTAAAGGTTTGTTAAAACTGGATATTTGGTACACTGGGACCTGTTATACTTTTTTCCTTCACTTTTATCTACTTGCAATAGTCATAATTGATGTACTTTTAAATTTCAAATCTAATGGCACACTTGTTAAAAAGAAGGTTTGGGGGCCCAATTCCCAAATATATTCTAACTCAGAAGATGTGCAATGGGGAAAGGAAAATGTATTATTAATATCACACTTGATTTTGCCAGCTTGTATGGTTTTAAGTTTTACCAGTAATCAATGGTGCAGAGACACTGAAGTAAGGGGGGGTTTACTTCCTGTTTCCTGTGTGCTCCCTCCACATACTCTTGCTGAGCTCCCAGCTTTCCTTTTGGTGCACCATTATGTCTACTCTGTGAAAATGGACCTGAACTTTGAAACATTTTTACTTTGCCCACCTTCTGAAGCGCTAGCTTCCCCAGGACACAGTGTACCAAATGTACTGCTTCCCTTGGCACTGCCCTTGGGCAGTTCTGTAGCTAATTGTCTCTGTTAAGACACCTTCCTTGTGAACTAGTATCTTAGAGGAGCATATTTATGGCTAGTTCCAGAGGACAGATGTCCAACAAGTTCCACTGACTCAGCACCAAACAACTTCTCTAATATATGGCCTAGATATCAGAGAGGAGGGTTATCACAGTTCTACGAGTATTGGCTATTACACGTTATTTGTCTTTGTGTGTGTGTGTGTGTGTGTGTGTGTGTGTGTGTGTATGTGGTGCTGGGGATTGAACCCAGGGACTTGTGCATACGAGGCAAGCACTCTACCAACTGAGCTACATCCCCAGCCCCTACATGTTATTTTTATATTGTCTGTTATTCTATATTACATCTGCTATTCCTATATTCTTTTAGAGTTCCCTTTTTTCTTAGTAGGCCAGTCCCTCAATGTTCCAATCCTGTTATACTTCTTTTTTTCTGTTGGTGGTGGTG